AGCCCTGTACGGAGGCACTCACTTCAGGGGCTACGGCAAGATGGACTCCAAACTCACCGAGATCGCAGACAAGGCCATTGTAGCGCTCCTGAAACAAACCAACCGCTATTCCCCATCGCGGAGATGGGCTATCATCTTGGAAGAGCTTCGGGATGAGGCGGTTCGCCAGGTGACTGGGGTTGGGCAAGCCCAAGCGGAGCAGGGCCAGGCCCAAGCTCAGGTTGAACGTCAGGGTCAGCAAGACGGCAGCGAAGATGCGGATGCTCAGTCTCCTAATGAACAGCTGTTGGAAGATGCACTACGTGCTCACTGGGAAGCCGATCTTGCCCGCCATGCTCTTCCAAACCAACCCCCTGCTGAAGTCGCTGAACCACCGCCTCCCCCAATGGTCTACCGTCTATGGGACAAGTGGAAAACCACTGATTGGCTTGATCTTGACTCCGCGGTAAGTTGATCAAGCCTTTTCCAGAATCTCAACTGACAAGGTTACTAGGCATTTGGGCCGATATCCAACTTTGAGCCTCCACCACCAACACCTCCAGCACCGCAGCCCGTACCTCAACCAGCACAACAGCTAGCACAACCCCCACCACAGCCGGCACCGCAACCCACACCCGATCAGAACCCAGTTCAGTAATGTTTAGTAATATTGACTCGCTACCAACCGCCTGACTCCTATGATACAATCCCAAACACACCACCCATTCACCATCTCGGCTCAGCTGGAACTTTCCGACGATGGCGAGATCTCATCCATCAGAGTTTTCACTTCATCCTTTACTGCCCGGGCCCGGCGCAAGATGTCGGCAAGATTTAACCCCTTCAGCAACCGGTCCTGTATTTCCCCGCTGCTGTGTAGGTATTTCTGCATGGAGTAGGAGGGTTCGCTGGTTGATACTCTTCTTTGACAATATCAGTATCAGCGTTACTTGGTGGACAAGACGTGTTCAACTTACTCGTCACCGGACAGCTGAAGGCCAGGTCCCGTTCTTTGCGACATTTCGAGATTTGTTTTGGGAGACAACTTGTCTTTGTTCTTGCCAGCTTGGTGGTTACTCAGGCGTGGTGTGCGTTATTGGTTTGATGCTTAAGAAAGGCCTGTGTTTTGTGAGGAAACTATCACCTTTTATCTGTGGACTGCATCTCATTCTGGTCATCCTCATGAAGCAACCTGGCGTTTCTTGGTGATCCTTTTGGAAATATTGGTGGCAGATTGACGCGCTCTTTCCAGTGTCACCACGCGTTTGAGCATATCAATAACGAACATCCAAACCTTGAACAAGCGCCTCCGAAGGAGAGACGACTCATCTTTGCCACGGCCTGTTCTGCCTGATGAGGCTTTGATATCGCTGAGTTGGCTCTCCAGTGATCACACGTTCAGTTCAAGACGCGGTACCTGTTCGCAATTGAGCGTGTCTGACAGAGGGACCGGTCCTAGCGTCTTGCCTGGATTCTCCGAATCCTTCGTCGGCTCTCCAAATCCATGATTTTGGGCCCTGCGCGTCATCGCCGGATCAAGTCGACGGCAGCTATCTCTTGCAGCAAGTATGATGTTACGGAACCGGCCGATTGGGAATAGTGTTGGTCCCTTCCCCACTCTCAGCCTTATCTGGAGTCCCAGAAGGTTCTCCCGTCACAGGAGAACTGTCGCATTTGAGCACTTGGAGTTACTTGCGCACGCATAGCCACCACTGAGGAATGCAGATGGATAGGCATACCACGAGGCACGCGCGTGATTTTCCTTGTTGGGCCTGTACTGCGTGTCATCGGACGTCCTGTCCAATGCTTGGACGGTCTTGGGGTGGTTCAACTCTGCCGATGCAGGCGCCCCGAGTGGGAGCACGCCATTGGAGAAAGATTGCCCTGATCTTCTCGGGAGCCGGAGGAAGGGTGTGTATCAGTCAAGCCCCGAGTTTTGCTTCTTCTCCGCATTTGCGCAAACGGATCGCGGCTCACGTATATAATCCAGCCTCGGAGTCATGGCTTCTTACAATGGGAACTGCTTTTTTCTCAAGCCCAGTTCTGGTTTCTTGGGTTCGACATCACATTTGACGCATCACAGACAACGCATTGGTATCTTTCTTAGCCCACCACTTGGACTTCTACTCGATTCAACACAATCCTTCGCTGGGCCAGCTTCCCCTCACTTATACGCCTGCTCATTGCCACGACCTTATCGGTTTGTGCGACCCCCTGGTATCAACAACCACACCCAGAACAAAGCTTCAAACACCGAAACCCAACCGAACAGAGATTCCCACCGCTACGTATGGCCTGAATCTCATGTCACGAGATCCAGGGTCTTCAGTGTAGAACAGATTCGACCCTGTCAACTTCATGGCATCCCGCGGCTCAAGCAACCCGACACCTTCGGAGTTATTCCTCGCAAAGAAAAAGAAAGAGTCTGTAGACCTATTCATGGCTCTCATCCTCAAGAAATTGGACGAACGCCTTGAAAATCCCGTTCCAGCACCAAGGCGCCGGGTGGCGAAGCGGGCAAGAGACGACCAGGAGACTGCTGTTGACGACCGCGCCGCTGCCGGCGCCACCAGTGACGCTATCGACACACGAAACAAGAAGAAACTGAAGCAGGATCCGTCGGCGGGACGCCGGTTCGCCTGTCCGTTCTTCAAGCACAATGCAGCAAAGTACAAGCATGTCAAGACGTGCTGCGGTCCTGGGTGGAAGGACGTCCATCGCGTGAAGGAGCATCTCTACCGTCGCCACTCGGCTAAGAATTCTTGCGCGAGGTGCTTCGAGCAGTTTGAAGATGAGGCCGCGCTGAAAGACCACCAGCGATCCGAGGAGCCCTGCAAGCTCGAGAAGCACAACATTCCCGATGTCATCACGGAGGAAAAGGACAAGCTCCTGCACGCCAGGGCCAAGGCGGGCTGCTCCGAGGAGGACAAGTGGGGGGAGATGTATGGGATCCTCTTCCCCAAGGAGAAGGTCCCGTCTCCCTACTATGACGACTCGGATGGGACGGGCCCGGACAGTGAGAAGGGAGGGTCGTCCAGAAACTGGGAGGAGTTCAAGACTTTTGCCCGTGAGGAGGTGGTAAGAGTCGTCAAACCCCTGTTGCAACAGTATATCGACAAGTACTTTGAGGATTTCACAGAGAAGATGAACCAAAAGTCGATCGAGGTTGCGAAGGTGGTCGAAAGCCAGGTCCTGCGCACCTGGATTTTTAGAGAGGAACAGCAGCATCTATACCCGCCCGGACGGGCGGCGCCATCATCTCCCCCGCCGTCTGTTTCGGCAAGGGCATCCAGTCCAGAGGTGGATGTGAAGCCTGCGAGCTACAATGAAGTGATGAACGAGTGGAGGGACAACCCGCACAGCGGAGAGTTCTGGGATGACTTGTTGAGCGGACCTCTTTCGTTGGACAACTTCTTGGCGGATGCCAGCCACATGGGTCTAGGCTGTGGGAATGACATCTTCAGCGCCGATTCGGCCTACTTTACGAATGCTTGCTCGGATAGGGAGATTACTTCGGGCTCTGGTCTTCATCAGGTGGCTGGGGCTGTTATGGGTGCTGCTGTTGGCGCTACTCCGATGTACCCGCGGTATTTGTAGGGTTATTATTGTTGTCTGTTGGGGTCTTTCATGCTGCCTATCTCATTGCCTCGATCATTGGTGTCTCATTTCTTCTCATAACAAACACTCTGCATGGACTAAGGGGGGACGCTCATTATTATGCCTGATCAATTCCTTCTGTCTCTCATAGTTTTACACGGGCACTGTCGATCAGTTGCGTGGTATTATCAGTACGGTAGTTGAACATCAATCCAAGGCTTTTCTTGACCACCATCACCCGGCCACTGCTTCTGATGACGGGAACCAACCAAACAACCCAATTGCTCCCGACTCGTCTACCCCTCCCTTTCAGCCCCCAACTCACCCTCGTGAACTACCCCTCCCCCGCATCATCTTACCTATCTTATCACCAGTCAGCAGACTGGCCGGCCGCAAAGACAAAAGGTATATCAAGACATCTATTGCTTCGCCTTCTCCGGTCCTCCCGGCCATTTCGGCTGGCAGAGGAGCGGCAGGCCAGATATTTATTGCATAAAAGGCATAAACCGCCAAATTAATTGGCTTGGTAGCTCGGGGCGAAGGAGATGTCACCACGTCACCCCACCATCATCACCATTTTGCTCTGTCACCATCACCATCACCACCACCACCAGCAAAAACCGCACAAGATTCGTCACCAGCTGGGTGGGTGAGACAAAAACAAACATTGAAGAACCGGTCAACCAAGCCCCTTCCATTGGCCGAGTTCCCCTTCAAAGTACAGCACTTTTGCGTGAGGGACCAAGACCCGGCAGTCGTTTTGTGCTCTCGGCCACGACATCATCTTCTTGTCCCACCATGCAACTTTGATGCATGGAAGTCCAGCCAAGACATGATACGCAGTCACAGTACTGCTGCAGAGATCTATGTATTCCACAGATCCTTCCATACGACCCCCCCTTCTGCAGCAATGGAACAGCTTGTTTCAGCTCATGTGGTGCTGACTTTGCCTCTTGCTGCAAGATACCTAGCTAGCATGGAAATTGCGGGGGAGTCTCGGCTCCTCGGGGTCATTCCCCCCTCAGTTTGCAACAGTAGAGGGGGGCAAAATTCCAATCTGATGTGACGAGAGAAAGTGAGGCCCTACTGTCACGTTTGAGGTGATTATAAACCTTGGAATCTGGAAAGCTGGCAAAGTTGTGTCTTTGCGCAAAAGCGCAGAGGGAGGAGCTTGCTTACACCAACACTCAAGAGTCACAGGCACGGCATCACGGGACGGACCTTTGGTTGAACGACAAGCTGCGCTGCGGGGGAGGGGACGGGATGGTGGCACAACCTCGGACAACTCGCAATTCCCCATTCAATTTTCACTTCGGGCAACACAGACGATGATGAGATTGGGTCGCGTTGTATACAGTATGGACACCATGGGCGCTAACTCCGCGCCGAGAAGCAAGCTACGATGGGTGTCCACACTCATACAATCTTCCGTAGTATAGTGGTCAGTATGTGAGCTTGTCAATCCGGCGAACTCCACATGGATTCAATGAATAACAACGCTCGAGACCCGGGTTCAATTCCCGGCGGGAGAGTAACCACACATTCTTTTTCATCATTTTTGTTTCCTATCCCACCCAGGCAGTAGTTAGTTGGGGGGGATGTTGTTAGGAGTTTCGTTTTGTCTGCGTGTGGGCAGCAGAACCGTGCCTTTGTTCGTTCTGGGAATGTGATAAAAAAAGGGGGGGTTAAGGGGTTAGCAATGCTCCTCCCTCGGCAGCATCAGTGGCAATAAATAACAACACAGCTAGCTCTCTTACTTTTCTCATTGTTCCTGTGTCTGAACTGAAATCTCCAATTGAAGCTCGAACCCGCGAGTCAAGTCAGACATTTCCATCACCAAAAAGGGGGCTCCCCTGTCGCAAAAAAAGTCCACATACCCCACAACACAACACCAAGAAAACACCAAAAGAAAGAATTTCATCTCGACGTGGGCCTGATTCGAACAGACGCTCCCGAAGGAACAAGATTTCTAGTCTTGCGCGTTAGACCACTCCGCCACCACGCCTTGGTTGCTTTTTGATGAAGACTCCATTCAGAATATCGCCACATCACGAGACAACCTATTCAGCAAGCACAAAGTGGCGATAGTATTCATGTATTATGTATCTTAATTCAGGACTTGGTTTCTGTCATCTCCTTCAACACCACTAGTGACAGTTGTGCCAAAACAAATGAAACATACCTACCAGCCAAGGTCAAGCGAGTCGCGCACATAACATCCGTCCATCACAACACCTGCTTGACTGGATAGTAGGTCTTGTTCAGACCGTGTGCCGTCGCAACCGCGCAGGGAGGGGGGAAGCTACTTGGCTAATAGAGGTGGTATTTGCTGTCATATATAAAGTGTCTAGGAGCTCGCAATCTTGTCATAGCCAGTCACTGTTTGACTTGGGCAAGTTGGTCCTTGTCAGAAGCGAACGCCGCAAACAAGTCTCAAGTCGGCTTTGTTGTGATGGGAACAATGTGAAAACTGATTTAAATGTAGCTCAATGTTTGTTTGGAACTGAAATATGACAAGAAACAATCGTCATAAGCCCTCAATAGCCCTGCCCATGACCATGACCATGACCTTGATAGCCCTGATTCTGATGGTGGTGCTGAACCTGGTGTAGCGGATTCCCACTCCCACCCCCATAATTATTCCCAGTAGCATACCCGCCATTCCCATTCCCATAATTATTATCCACCGGTCCATCCTCCCAGAACCCTCCCTGCTGGGGCCCTTCTGGTTTCTCAGACCCCTGCCCCTCTTCCTCATCCCCGGTCCACACCCTCCATTTGAACCGAATAATCTCATAGATCTGCACCAACTGTGGCTGCCCCTGAGCACCGCCTTGTTGCTGACCTTGCGCTTGCGCTTGCCCTTGTGTCCCGGCCCAAAAGATGGGCGTCCTCACCACCTCCCACACAACTCCCTGTCTCACCCTCTTCTGCCACAGCCAGATCCTGAAGCCAACCCAGTAAAGCGCGGCCGCTACCAGCACTGCCATGGCCGTCATCTGCGGCGCAAACCAGTCTACCCTGTCGCTCGAGTGTGCAATATACCTCTGCGCAGGATCATAGATCCAAATCGTCACAAGCGGCACAATGTTGGTAGCGGTAAAGATGACCGCCGCAATGACCCCCACAACATGCGGAATAGGGGACTTGTACCTCCAGTTTGACCCAGGCCACAAACGGAGATACAGCATCCCCACCCCGATGCAAGAAAACCAAATCACATCCAGCCCATAGGCATATGCCATCAACAATAGCGAGTAGCCCGGCAAGTGCGAGAACACCACGCTATCGGTCGACAGCATAGCGGCAAGAATGAGAATAGAGGTAACAGTCCAGTGCAACGCCAACGCTGCGGCCGGTGACTTCTCCGTATACAAGAAGCCGCCGGCCTGGTGGTCTGGGATGCGGCGGAACCCGTGGCGAAAGGTGAACTCGTAAGACGAAGCGAGATAGATACTGCCGGGGAGGACGCCCTCCTTGGCAACTTCTTGCTTGACACGAGCAGCAGTGAAAGTGAAAACAATGACGTTGCCGATGGCTGAGAGGGCACGGAGTGAGCCGCAGGCGGCCTTGACTGTGCTTTCAGCTACGCCAGACCCGACGGTGCGCTTGAAGAAATTGAACGCAATGTCGAGGTCGGCCGTGAAAAGATCTGCCTTGGGGATGGTCGCGGCCTTGTACAAATGATTGTTAGTCTAAAAGAACAGAATTTGGACCAAAGACAGGAGATAGATATCTTACATAGAGAATGGTGATGGTCATGAAGAGACAGCAAATAAACAACACTCCGTAACCCGAGGTCCGGGCAAAGTTTTTGTGTGGTGCCTTGATCTCAGCCAGAACCTATTTTTCGTTAGCTGGTTTGCAGAGCAAAAGTGAAAAAGTCAAACGTACGTAGTTGGCCTGGTGAAACCCACCAAAAGGGAAGATTGCATAGATCATCGCTTCTGCATACTTGTAGACGCCCCATTGAGTGTTGTCAGCTCTCTTCATGGATGTGCTAGAATCAAAGTTATCCCTTGCCACATCCAGATTAAGCCAGCGAAGGCCGAAGATCACCATGATCACAAGCATGGTCACTTTCAGAGAACCCAAAAGGTTGTTGAGACGAATACCCCATTTTCGGGACATACTGTGGAGCAGACAAGAGAAGGTGTTCACGGTCAAAGCGATGGCCACCATTCGACCAGCCGTTTGCGTGGTGCCTGATGCCTGGAGGACGGCAGCAGCAAAGGCAATCGAGTTGGTTGCCGTGTTGCCAAAGACAAGGAAGGATACCCCGAAAAGACATGTGGCCAGAAACCGAGGAAGCTTGAGAAAGTAATTCAACTTGACTTTTGTCAGTAGCCATTACGATTCTGCCAAGTACAGTGAACGACTTACATAGGGTAGTTCACCTCCACTTCTTGGAGTTGAAATTTTGGTACCATCTGGCCTTTGCCATCTCGGGACTGTCAGGCCCAACTCGATGTAGAGAATAACACCGGACAAGGCAACAGCAACACCACAAAGCCAAAGAAGCAGTGTGACACCCACGCTCTGGGTATTGTAAAATATCTGTGAAGATGCATTGAAGATGCCAGATCCAATCATACGGTTGAATATCAGGCACAGAACCGAAAAGCGACCCAGACTGTCTTTTTCTGATGGAATCTCTTCCACAATGGCGTCATGGTCTTCTCTTGCTTCATAAAGAGCTTGTTGGTCTTGTAGATCCAATCCTGGAGCCCAATCCGATGTCTCGGGTGGAGGTTGGGTCTGGTTGAAGCCAAACCCTGTGCCGGGATCTGGCTCGGCCGTTGCTGTCTGTTGATACATGGCGACTCTTGGTTGAGGATCTAGGATATCAAGCTCAAGACGGGAACGGGATGCCCCAAGCTAAATGCGGGGGAAAATCATCTTGTTCACTTCATCATGGTCACCCGGAGCCTTGTCTGGTCACCGGAGCAAAAGTCGCCATGCCCACCATAGACACCGACCGAGCCCAGGCGTGGGCTGCCTCCTGCATAGCATTTTTTAGCTGATGAGCCACTGTGTTTTGGGAATATTGACGAACGTTGTGAGCCGATTGGATATGGATGCAGACGAGCCATGCCACGATGAGAACTGAAGCGGGATTTCCTGGTTCTCGGCCTTCAGCTGAAACTAGTCAGAGCTGTGCCGTCCAATGCTCGTGAGTGCTTTCAGCCACCCGCATCGGTGGGCGCATCTGGAATCCGGTGACCGACGAGGGAATCTGCCTTGCGACGCTGCAAGTCGATGTCTGTGCCTGGGCGGATGCGTGCGCCTCCTGCGATATTGATTGCTGTTAACCAGATTCTTCGATTTCCAGGGCGGACGACAGAAATTGCCATGTTTAAGATGGGACGCAAGGCTCTGGGTTTGTGTGTTAGCTATGACGGGGAAGGAAACGGAAGAATGCGGGGTGCGTCTCTTCCCTCTTTGGTCTTCCTCGTCCTTGCCTTTTGCTTTTCTCCATGCCTTTCGCCCCTCCCACCTGCCCATCTTGTCTTTGCTCCCGTCCCCACATGGCCCTGTCTTTGATCTGTCCACGTTCCATGCTTCGACACAGGTGGAGCGATGTCGCTGCCCTTTGAGATATCGCAAATTCACGGTGCTCTTGCTCTCGCCTACAGGGTTATTGAGATCGGATGGAGTGACCTTCACGACGCTCACGAACAATACCTCGAGTTCGGACAGGACATTAGGGATCTGAGGATCAGTCTTCTCAACCTCGCCGGCGCCATTGACCAAGCTGATCGTGGATCGCTGCTCAATAACAGGCCAACTACTGCTTCCGCCAACAACTTCCATCATGTCCTCGGCAGTTTTACTACCGTCCTCGAGGAATGCCAACGGCTATTGGAAAGTCATTCAACATATGGCTCCAATAGAGGCCCGATATACAACCTTCGATGGTTTCTCCTCGTCAAGGACGAGGTCATGATGCTGAGGGAGCGCATTGCCTTCTTGAACATCAAGCTCTCGGTAGCCTTCAAGGCTTTAGAAATGTATGTCCTGTTGTCTGTTACATTACTGCTTACTGCTTGAAGCAGTGCTAACAGGGCCACAGTGAGACCAGTGATGGCACACGCAGGTTGATTGTAGGAGTCGGCGAGTTACTCCTACAACGGTTTGACTTATTTGAGGCGAGAATGTCGGCGATGCTTGGCCAGCCCCGACCAGCCGAGCCGGAACGCGTTCTTGAGATCCCACAGCCCCTGGAAGATCTTCTAGTGGCCATTGCCATCTCCAAACACGGAAGTCTTAGCAATATGCCGCTAGCACAGGGGATAGATGAGACAATCTTCTATCTTGATAGGGCCACATGCTGGCATGCCAGGAGAAGAGTCGAGCAACCCCCAGAGCAGATCCTGGCATCACAGGTAGCGAACATGATACGAGCTTATTGGACACTCCAGGCTACCAGGTCTGGCGATGAATGTATGGAAATCTCCTCCAGGGCGACTATTGATGATTTTGAGGCAAACTTTCCGCGTCTTGGTATGACTGTGCAGAGATATTTGCACAA